TGCTTGCACTTAACAGGTAATGAGATGGTGTTATATATTGAAAAAAACGCAGATACATAAAAAGGAGCCACTCAAGCTCATTCAAGTGTCAGTGTCAACCTATTCTGATTACCTTTATATAAATCTTGTCTGTTTCTGAAATGTACAGTTAGATCACACCACAAAACCCAGCACACATTTATGCCTGAAAATGTATTAGTAGGTCTTTTCTGTTTCAATTGTTTTAAAGGTGCTAAACAAGAGGAGGATGATTACTAATTTCTTCCATTATTAATGCTTTTACCTCAGCATTAATTGTGTTTCTCTGAACTGTGTGAATTATGAGCATACATAAAACTAATACTGAAAGAAAGAAGTGCTGTTAATTTTGTCAGAAACTTGAGTTTAAGAGAGAAATAATACCTTGGTAATTACAAAAAATTGCCTTTACATTTTCTGCATTTCCCCTGCAACAGTAAAGGTTTCTTCCATTTATTTGCACAGGAACATCAAAGATATTCTCAGGGGATCTATAGAATTTTAGTGGTCTTTTTTATTAAAATAAGCTGCTTTAATTAGCCTAATATGTGGTATGAAATCAATCAGAAATTAGTATCTTTGATCAAAATCTGCACTAAAGCTAATTTCTTCTAGAATGTTTGATTTGCAAACAGCAAATGAAACAGAACGTGTTCGAACAGAGCTAATTAGGTGAATATATACCAGTATTTTGGGGGGAGCTGTATATATTGATAACCATTACCTTTTCATAAAATGCCCAGTGGGCATTTTCTTATGGACATAATTTACAAGATATATTGGTTTTGAAAAAAGTGAAAGAGGTTTGGCTCTTCTGAAAGCTGGCTCACACATGTAACTGCTTCAAGAAGTCCTCTATTCTGAAACAAATGTAAAGTGTGGTGTCAAGAAAATGATCAGAGATTTAAAATACTACCTCACACAATGTCAGTGCAAAACAGGGATGCTTGTGTTGTCAGGGAAGTCTATCAACTGACAACACAAGAGAAAATTATTGCTTTGTTTCTCCAACTTCAGCTATAGTATCTTTTCAACACTTCATTTGAAATCTAACTCTTGTTGACACAGGTTGGGAAGCAAGTATTAAGGGACCTAAACTTAGCATCCTCCCTTGAGGAGCCTGAATAAATAGCTTTGCCTTTTCTGTGTGCAGAGCCCCATGTTTGTACCTTCCTTATGTTTTCAAATTCTGCTTTGTTGGAAGCACTGCCTCCATCTCTCTGAACAAGTCAAGGACCAGGCCGAGCACTAGGTTCATATCTGAGTATATCCTAAACATAGTCAGTGAGAAAATCAAATATTTGTTAGCATGAAGAAAACATGAGGAAGACTCAGCAGTGGATGACTTTGGGTGTCAGACCTGCTGCACACAACTGCTTCCATCCTAAGTGCCAAGGTTTGTGCTTACTCACTATCTCATGAAGGGTCACTCTTGCTCCAATGACCCCTCCCCATCCTCCTTGTGTCCTTTTTTCTCCTGTATCTCCTCCCATGCCCCTCCTGCCCGCTCTCTGCTGCAGCTGGGCTGCTGTCATACCTCCCATTGCCCCAGTGGAGCTCTTGCAGGCAGCACTGTGATATTGCAAATATTCAAAATTCAAAATATTCAAAATTCAAAAATATTCAGCTATTATGCTGCCCTTGAATCTCCCCCTCGCTCTGGTAGGCACCACAGCTTCAGGGTGCTCATTTTCAGCCTTGCAAGCAGCATGGCTTGGTGAGGCTGGCGTTGGAGAGACGTGTGAGTGGAAACTGTGAGCCACTGCTTGCTGTATCCATTGGGTTAGCTAAAGCTGCATGCATGGTGTCATATCAACATTGCACATTTATGGAGTGATTCATTTCTCGGTGCAAGCTCGTGCCACCTTCACATACTTTCTGAGGAGAAACCTGTTAGAGCACTCTCTCAGCACTACTCACTGCTCTCAGCTCAACTCTGCTGCCAGGAGCCCCCTGCACACCCAGCCTTCCCCACTTCTATATGTAATTTCAGCATCTCATTTCCTAACTGGAAATACTCTGTACTGCAATGTGAGGAGATGGCAAGTGAGCAAACAAGTGAGAACACTTCATGTCTTACAATCAAACCCATCTGACTTAAGCAGTATCATGTTTTTCACCCATCTGGCTGGACTAAGTGTGCCTTTGGAATGAAACATCATAGAGCTGTACACCGCTCTTCAATCCATAGCTGCTCTGCAGAGTGCAGGAGAGGCAAAAAGGGACAGCAACACATTATGTTTGAAATGCCTTCTGTTTGTCCATTAGAAACATACCAAACCAGTGCAAATCTTTAGTCAAAGGGAGATTTTCTTCTACTGGTGCCAAGCTTTGCATATCAGAGCCAAGCACAAATGCTAAGAGCTGAAGTGAAATCATGCTAATCAATGAAGCAGAGCCTGCTTCTTCAAGCAGCAGTTCCTTTGAATTAAGGGTTATACCTTGGTCAGCACATTGAACTCCCACTGTGGGCTCTGGGATGCCAAGAAGGAGGTCAAAGAAGTGCAACATTATTAATGTCATGTTTTAAGAACAAACCATTGCCCACTCTGCCTAACCGTGCTTTTGTTCTTTCTCAAACTCCATGCTCATCAGTTACTGAGTGCTGGGGTTTTGCTGTACTGGTTCTGCTAATCATTATATATTTTATATTGCATTTAGCATTTCATCAACCATGAAAGAACCTGGACTTAAAATGGATGGGTAATACTGAAATGGGACTTCAAGACAAAAAGAGAAATAGATTTAAGTAGAATGGTCAAATTGAAATAGACTTTTTTTCCCTCGTGCAATTGAATTTGCATTCATTTTCAATTTAAAAATAAAAATAAATAAGAAATGAAGTATTGAGTCATTACAGGGGCAGATAATTGTCAGAGCTACCCTGGGTTAAATTCAAATTATACTGCAGTAACTGCTCAAAGGTAGTCTAGTTAAAATAGAATCAACTGAGTAAGCAATTTCTTTTCCTTTCCACTCCCTTTTGCCCTGATGCAATACATATAATTTTTAGGTACAGGAATATAACATTTATGCTACATTTCTGTGCTTACATAAGCCTTTACTGATGGCTGCATATTTGCTAAAGCTGCCCTAAACTCTCCCAAACAAATATATTCAGTTATGTCCCAGGGAATAACTACAGCTTTCTGTTGTAAACCCTTTCAATCTCATTTCCACCTTTAAAAACCATCTGCTCAGCCTCAGAAAAGACAGTGTTAAAAGACCCACTGTGGGTTGTTCTTAAGACAAGAAGCATAATTAAACTTTCTAGTTATTCTCTTTGTTCCCCAATCTTCCCAACAGCCAAATCATCTGTAAATGTTATAAGCTGAAAGCAGTTTTCCTGGTTCCATGCTGGGAAATGCAAGCAGGCACTAATCCCAAGCATATTGGACACTTATGTCTCCACAGTCCTTGTGTAAATGACACAACATATCCAGGAATACATACTTTAACTGCTGCTTACACACCTCATGGCTTTTTCAGACATTTTACTTTTCCTAAGGACAGAAGCATAGAAAACCACATGGCAGACTAGAAGAAAAGTGAAAAATCAAACAAACCTAGAATGTTATGCCTGTTAGTAAGGTAGCATGAATCTGTGGAAGATAAAGCTATTTTCATCTGTGTAGCACTGAGCCTGCAATTTGGAATGTGCTGTTCATCCTGGCCTCTGATGCAGAAATCAGGAGCAATAGTTCTTAATTAAGCTGTTTTGTTAGTAGAAAATTTAATGACACCTGACCTACTGCAGATTTTTGTCTCACATGCCCCATTTGGATTCTCTACTTTTAAACAGTGGTGAACTGACATTGCAGCCTTTACCACTATGGGGGAAATAAGTTGTAATTCTCTCCTCTACACACCCATGGAATTGCACACCTTAGAAGTCTCTACCTCCCTCCTGAATTTGCCTGAAATTGGTTAACATATTCAAAAAATGGAATGAGGTACGGAAAAAGACAGAGACAATTATCACAGCTTTATAAATCTTTTTTCTTTGTGAAACCCAGCTAGAAACAGAAGTTAAAAGCAAGGGAATTCTTGCAAATACACTACTGACACTTGCAGGTAATGCAAAAAAAGAGTGATACTGTGAAGGTGTGATATTATGACTACTTGTAAGTAAAGTAGTTTCTTGTCAGTAAAATGAAAGCTAAATCCATCAGTTCCTCCTCTGAGCTCAACACCACTTTTGATTTATACCAGTGAAAGCTCTGCATTATGAAATTAGTCATATTTCATGATGCTTGTCTATAATCAGTCTCCTGTCAAGTTCCCATTGGACATCCTGTTACTCAATCAAGACTGTTACTTTTTGCAAAGAGGGGAAGGAAATTGTTAAGAATTTCTACAAATTCCTTCCTCCTTCTTAGACCTTCCTTTACCCAGATGCCCCAAGGACTTTCTATGACTTCTTCACGTAAATAAAAGCAAAGGATTTGGGAAGCCAAGCTAAATCTGCAAACAAATCACATGGTATCTCAGATCCTGTCTGACAGCCAGGCAATATTGATAGCAAGAGCTCTAGATTTTTTCCTTCTACTTAACACATACAGTTTCAGGAAAGTGTTCCTGACTTAAACTTCCTGCACAGGATGAGATCATCTGCTAGATGATCATGCAGCTTGTTGCTGCTCAAACTGCTATTTTGCTCTCTTCCTATCCTTTTCCCAGTTACATGGTCCTGGCCAAGCTCTGGTACTTAAGTGATTCTACCCTCAGTCAGTTCAACTCACTAAACCAGGAGGAAAGCAAATTCAGTGAAACAATTTTCCTTTGCCTTGTACAAAGGAACTTACTGGCCCATTCATGCTTCTCTAAAACTTCTCAGAAGTGGTGAAAAAAATGACTGACATTTTGAGGCAGATGAAGCAGTTTTAAGTTAACTGGAAATCCCTGCTTTTCATATTTGATACAGTCTGTTTAAAAAAATAAAAAAAAAAGAAAAGGAAAAAATTTAAAAGGCTGTTACTTACTATTTGTCTTCTGTTTTCTACCAGGTAGATGCCAACAATCCCTAGGAAAGATCCAAAGCCAAGCTAAGGCAAAGAACAAAACCAACAGAAATACATGAGGTCAGCTTATCTGGACAACATACCAATACATACAGTGATATCTGAGCTAATACACCACACAGATGGGATAAATGGGGGCAGGTCAAGGGAAAAGGTGGAAGTTACTGTTGGACATAAGTCATATAATGTAATGGGAAATGGCCAGGACTGCAGCTTTTTGATAGTTCAGTGCAAAATATGTCATGTAGTAAACAGAAGTCTATACAGACACGCATCTATAACCTGACTACTGTCACGTATAGTTTTACACACTGTAAGGAAAAGCTAGGTAAAGTCAGAGAAAAAAACACTTACATTTAGTCCACACATCATAATTTTTGAAAATTACAAAGCTTTAGGCTACTGCAGACATTTTTTCTCAAAAAAATGTATGTGCTCCCCAAAGTTCAAACCCTTAGAGTTACACTGGTTTGATTTTAATGAGTAGACACTATCACAGAACCCAGAAAAAAATCCTTGCTAAAATGCTAAAAAGACCAGTACAGTCAGCTGCATCGCTAAGCGTCACAGGAGAGATGGGGGAGGAAGAGACACTCAAGTAAGCTGGCCTTAATGTTCCAGTGTTGTTTCAACATTGGGGTGGTAGGAAAAGCCTCCTCCTTATGATGGGCACATGAAGGTTTGGAGCAGTAGAAACTCCTTGAATTCACAGTTCCAGCCCCTCTCTGTAATGAGGCCTCTGAACCGAGCTCAGAGCCTCTCCTCCAAGCACAAATTAAGTTTTTAAGGACTACATGTCCCAGCCAAGGGCTTAAGCAATGCCCGTAAATTCCTTGCTGTTACGCACAACTGCTCACAGCAGAAAGCAAATCCCCTGCAAGCACTTTGCTCGCTCAGTATCACAAGAGGAATCCGTCACTTGCTTTCAAGAATGTAGGGAAAGGAGATTTGCTCTTGAGTGCTTTGGGAAAATTTAAGTGAAAGGGAGGCACAAGGACTAAAAGCAGAGACTTTGAAAGAGTGGGCAAGTGCATCCATGCTGACAGCTAAATACTAGAGATACTTGGAACTGTGAGCAAGGACACTCTGTTCAGGGGACAGCAACTTTGTAAATTAAGATAACTACATCAAAATTACATCTGGTTCCAAGCCCCATTTTTCATTCCAACAGGAGCAATCCATAAAGCCTCATTTATGGCTGATGGAGGAACACAAAATGAGTAATATCGATGTGAATAAAAAGAATGACCAAAACCAAAACAATAGCAATTAAATGCGAAGGAATAGAGCCATAGAGATCATGATGAAAGCCACAGCATTACTGAGATTGTTTTAAGGTCATATGAATTAGTTTTTTGTCTGCTTAGACAACAGGCTCTTTGGGAGCTCTGGGAGTCCATGTCAGTATGGTGCTGAGACAACTGGACCCTGTTGAAAGAATATAAAAATAGCGAACAAAAATATTAAGTAAGTAGTCACATAGAAGTGACATTAAATATTTAAGTATTAACAATATCAATAAGGAAATGAGGCTGAAGCAGTTCCAACTCTGTCCTTGCAGACCATTCCAAAAATGCAGTCCAAACAGATGCTCAAGCAGTAATATACTAAATGCAGACACCTTCCAAAGCATAACATTATATTAACTCATCTACACACAGAAATATTTTATGTTCAATTGCTTTGGATGCATAAGTTCAGGTAATACCTAGATGTATTTAGAAAAAAAGATTTTTTTTCAAAACAAATTACAAGTGACCACATTTGCAGGGAAATTAAGGCACTTAACCCTTCTTGAACCTATAGGAACTTGGCAGAAGCCAAAGTGTATTATGGATCTAACCCTGAAAACCTGTTCTGTAAATACCTCTAGAAACAAGTAAATCTATACCAGTGGATAGTGTTATTCATCTTCATAGGTGTCCTCAAGACAGGGTTAATTCTGCATGGTTTTTAAAACCAGACTTTCTTACCCATGGTCAGTGGAGGTTTCAATTCGTCTACCAGCTGTGAAATTAATATTTTACTACTGAAGTCTACAAGAACTAGACCTTATTTTTAAATGAAATAAACAGTCTGTCCTCATATTCTTGCTTTTCTCTGAGCCCAGCAGTTAAATATGTAGTGACAAATTCACTCCCCTGGTTTAGGTATCTAAAAGTCTGAGATCAGGGTTTACTGGTTTTCTAAGCTCCCTCTACTGTCAGCAGAGAAGAGAAGCACCTTTCGAGGGCTATTCAGCACATTCTGAAAGAGGTGATGGTGAGAGGGGATTCTGCCCCTCTACTCTGTTCTGGTGAGACCCCACCTCCTGGAGATATATATAAATGTGATATATATATATACACACCGCAAAGATGATGAGAGGGCTGGAGCACCTCTCCTATGAGGGCAGGATGAGGCAGTTTGGGTTGTTAAGCCTGGAGAAGAGAAGGCTCCAAGGAGACCCAATTACTGCTTTCCAATTCCTAGAGGTGCCCTACAAGAAAACATGACGAGATAGGACAAAAGGCAATGCCTTCAAACTGAAAGAAGGTAGGTTTAGATTAGATATTAGGAAGAAATTCCTTACTGTGAAGGTGGTGGAACTAGAATAGGTTGCCCACAGAACTTGCGAGTGCCCCATTCCTGGAAGTGTACAAGGCCAGGTTGGATGGGGCTTTGATAACCTGGTCTAGTGGAAGATGTCCCTGTCCATGGCAGAGGAGTTGAGATAACCTTTAAAGGCCCTGCCATCCCAAACCATCCCACGATTCTATGACAGTCCGTCTGCCAATGCTGCACTGGAGTCAGTCACTTCTGGCAATGAGGCAGAAACACAACAGTGCTGTCACACACCTCTGACCAGGCTTTTGGCAAGATACCATGAAAGATTTGCACAGCACTTTTAATTCTTGTTAAATGATTGTGATATTTAATATCTTGATGACATTTACATTGGCAATTACCTATTACTGTTTCTCAGTTACTTCAATAATCCACCACGTGTGCACAAAAAGAATTCTGAATTTTATGAAAATTATTTGGTTTCAATAATATTTCGAAAGGGAATATTTTAATAAAAGGTTTTGTTTCCAAAGTATTCTAATAAAGTCTTGCTTTTCTGTTTGGTTATTAATGAAAAAAAACGACTCTCAAAAAATATTTTAGCAGGTGATATTTATCAGACGAGTAAGTAGACATGTTATTATTACAAGAAACTAAATGCTCTTTTGTGCACATAGGTTTATTATTGCACTTGTTAAAAACAGCAGTTTATAAATGAAACTTCTTTCTAGGGATGAATGTAAATTACATGGTCTTATAAAAGATTGTATGTCAAATTTTGGAAGAAGAAGAGACCTTTATCAGTATTAATCTATCAATTTTAAGGTAATGAAAGGAAACATCATTCTTTTAAGGTCATATTTTTGGAACTGCTTTTTGTTCTATTTTTAAAACACCACTCTTTATAGATCATTATCCTAAAATTATCTTCCTGCAAGCCTTGTTCTCAACATAACACTAAGATGTAAGAGGAATTGTTTAGGAGGAACAATTCTAACTCACAAATTATTAATGGTGTATGCACAGTGTTAGAAGATACATATCACTCTTCCCTGGGCATTTCATTCCATAGAGAGCAAGAAATTATGGTACCTTGCGACATTGGCAGTAGTGGAGCCACACACCTAAGTAGTGTGAATTTGTTTCTTCACCTTGCAGCCCCTACTTCCCCATGGCTGACTCAGCCCTTCTCTATCTTCTGTCCACACTCCTCATATTTAAAACTCAGCCCAGGTTTTTTTTGTTTGTTTGTTTGTTTTTCATTCTTGTTTTTGTTGGGGTTTTTGTTGTTGTTGTTTGGTGGATTTTTTTGTTTTGGTTTTGGGGCGGGGGGGGGGGGGGGTGTTTGTTTTGTTTTTTT